TAAAAAGTTTCTTCAATATTTTACATTTCCATCAAACTAATGCGATACCTCAAATGAGCATAAAAATACACTGAAGTCTCTCTTTAAAATACATTTATGGGGAACTGTGAAGTTACAACTTACAACTCTTTCTTTAGTACCACCATCAGATCAAAAATTTCCATTTTTACACAAGAAATTTCAAAACACAATGAACAGATTGCCACAAAACTTGTGCGCACATTCAATCAAAAAATCCTGTGACCTTTCCTAAAGTGCCAACCTCAGCTAAAAGCTATAGGAACAGCAAAATCATCACAATGTAGATGGTAAAGTCCCACTCTTTGCTATTTTTGGGTATGATGAACATTGCTGCTTCTATCAGGGCTCAACTCTTAATTTTACAGACTTAATATTTTGATTTTATTTAGCATATTATGGCGGGTCACTCTAAACAACATTCTATGGATTAGCAACTGTGTCTGTACAACATTATCAGTAAATTTAGCTTGATTTACTCGTTATGTTTCTAAAGCTGCACTATGTCAGCTAGGAGAAAAAAATCAAATGAGGTCTCTTGTCTCACCCTGAGGCTACCACAGCCTCCACTCTGAGCTTTTACATAAAGCCACAACCAGGCGACAGGAAGTCGACAACAGCAATCTTCTGACTGATGAAACATGCAGAAATGTTCCAAACTCAGATTCTCCACTCATCTATCATTACATACTTACACATTGTTCCTTTCTATTTTAAGCTTACTGGGATTAAAACAACCATCAGTCACATTTTCAGGTGAGGAAAATTCTGCTGCCAAAAATTATTTTACGTCTAACTAATTATGGAAAATAGTTACATTTCCTGCCATGAACATGTGTCAGGCTTTGCAGTTGCGTCACAGATCTCGACACAAACCCCGTGAGCTGCATCTGTGACTGCAGATGTGCAAGCACAAGTGTTTTGGTAGGAAATAATCACTGCAACAGCTACATACTCACCGGCTTCACTCAGGAACTTCTCCTTTACATCAGCTGAACAGTCCTTGCATGTTTTGATGGCCACAGAAATCCTCTCTCCTGTCTACAAACACACACATGCATGCATTACTTCCACCATGACAGTGTACGTTTTAGCTCTACGGGTTAGGACACACTTTTGGCAGGAACACCGGTGCAATTTGGTGGTATGATTTTATCACATTACAGCTAGAAGGTGACCAACAGACTATCTTTTGATCCTCCGTAGGATGTTTGTGTGAGTGAACTGTGATGATACTTGGACATTAGACGAACTCACCGGGCTTTTATAAACTCCATCGTGAACCTCTCCGAAGAATCCCTCACCCAGGATCCGACCCACAACAATGTCCTCTCTGGAGATTCTGTGCCTCTCTGAACATACAAACATTACAGAACAGATGGTTTGTGAACGGTTTGTGAACGGTCTATAGGTTCTTGTTGGGTGGGTTGGTTGAAAGCGAAACCTGAGTGGCAGAACTAACAGTAGGTTTACAGTAAAACATAAAAGCCAGCTGTTGCAGTGCACCAAGGGAAAAGTCAACATTTCAACATCCTTACTTTGTGATAGCACCATTTCTATATTTCTCTTGTGGTTCAATCCAGGGTATTGTTAATTGCAGTTTGGAAAGTTTTTTGTGTGTTGTAATGATTGTTCAACACGTTTCTTTCTCAAGGTGGAACAGAGCAACCTGAAGGAGATGGTTCACTTAAAAATTGACATGTTTGTTATGAGTGTAAGAAAATGTAGAGAAAATATCGTATTGTGATATTTTTAACTGTGATGTTGTATCGATTCTCAAAAAAAAAGGAAAAAACAAACTTTTAACTCAGAGTTTATGTATCTGATGGTGTGTTCATTATACTATGACAGTTTTCCTAAATTAGATTTGAAAAAATCACAACATATCACCTTATTTACAGTATTGCAATATATTGAACCGTAACCTCTGTATCGTGATACGTTTCGTATCGTCAGATTCTTGCCAATACACAGCCCTACTGTTTGTAATGCTTTTTTTTTCAATTATCCCCACAATTAAGAGTCAAAATAACATGAACTGACATTTCTTCACTGATCGCCTAGTTTTGGGGCATTGGTAGCAATATAGTGCTGGGGGGATATCAGGGAAAGCAGTCAGTGAAATTTTACTCACCAGAGTTATCTGTGCCCTCTGGAATCTCTGCATAAATATCCGAACCTGAAGTTAAGGAAACATAATGAATTTATACATCTTAATTTTTTATTAAGATGTATAACCAAACAGAAGAAGCCTCCAAAAGAGTCATATATTATTGTTTATTAGTGTTAGTTTAGGAGGAACTGAAACCAAATAGATGTTCACGTGTGATATATGTATCATTAAACTCACTCAAACCTCTATCAGAACCACTGGGACCACCACTGGAAGAGAGAGACAGACATTTTTGTTTTACATTTCTTCTTTAAAGCGATCAGTTGATGATACAAAAATTAGTTTGTTTGTGTTTGAGCACCACTGCAGACAGACAACAAAACCATGACCACAAGATAAAGGAAGGTGTGAAGAAAAAAACTAAAGCTACAGCTACACAGTATATGGTTTAGCTAATTTACCACCATGGTGGGAAAAGTGTTACTTTAACAACTTTTAAGTTGCATTACTTTCCAGTGTGATTCATTACACTCACCGTTTTGGGATGTCGGGCAGTTTCAGTCTTGTGTCTCTTCCTGAAAGAATCAGATATTTGATTCAGCTGTAGTTGTCAACATAATTTATTACAGAGGTTTATCAAATTAAAGGGACATTTCAGGGTTTTAAATCTGGTCGTACTTTGGTACCTTGGTTATATTAACGTTTTCATTGCTGTGATATGCGGATCCAGTAGGTCAAGTTTTTTTCTCATTCAGTGAAAAAAAGTGAATACTCCTGAAATCTTGTGATTTTGGCAAGCTATGTCATCATAATTCATGGAAAATGAGAGCCAGTAGTACAAAAGTAAATCCAGGGTTGTAAACAATAGAAATGCTGCAGGTCTGTGTAGCCAATATAAAAATTGCTGGATAGTTTAACAACTTTATTTACTTTATTGAACTGGTACATAGGGGAAGTGTACCTCTGTTGAGCCGGATAATGCGTGAGCTCTCAGAGCTGCCTTCCAGCCGACAGTAGCCGTCTATCAGGTCAGCCATGTTTTCAGCCACAGCCAGAGAGGTGGTGTTCACTGACAGTGGCTGGGGGGGGAGATAGAAGAAGAAAAAGAAGATACTAGATATTCAGTCTGTGTTGCTTCCTCCCCTTAAACCACAACCATTTATAGAATTTGGCTTTTGTACAGAATGCTTTTTGAACAAATGCTACACTAATGGGGTTTCGTATCATCCCACACGAAAGTGGTATCCACCTTCTCATCCAACTCTCAGCAAGAAAGCCAACAGGCATCAAAATGTTGGACTATCCTTTTAGGAAGCTTAGCATTACCTGTTTGGCTCCCTCTATGTGCACTGTGAGCAGAGCCCGACCGTCGCTCTCAGCAGAGCAGGAGATGCTGGACACCTGAGAGAATGTGGCCAAACAGACGGGCTGCAGAAGAGACAATGGTGAAAAAATAATTAATAAATTATTAAAAAAGGGGACACTTTATAGCTATGCATATCTCAATATGTACTAATAAACAAATAATTAAAGTCTCATTTTTACATTGTTGTTTTTCTCATATTCCAAGGGTTGCATGCAGTGTATTTATGTTCATACATTCTATAAATTGCTTGCATACTGCATACTGTAATTATCTTCATGTTATACATGGTTTAACTCATCCTTTATTTGTGGTGTAATCCATATACTTTATTTTTCTGTGAACAGTTAGCAATATCTTTGCATATCTTGTCATCTTTCATGTTATATGACTAATATCACAAATAGCTAATAAGAGTGAGCTTACTGTAGAGTTGTCAGTTTGTTGACTGATGCCTTCTGGACCAATGACCAGGTCTATTGTTAGGTTCCAACCATGCTATAGAGACAGGACACACACACACACACACACACATTAAAAAACAGCTTTAGCTTAAAATGTAGCACAAAATAACTTATTTTTCACTGCACACATCAGTCTCTCACCACGAGCTGGCAGGCGAACCTCTCCTGTGTGTAGCTGTGGCACTGAGCCAAAGTGGTGAAGAACCTCTCCATGCACTGGTCCTGCTTCAGAGAGGAGTAGCCCTGGAACGTCTGCTGGATCAGCCGGCGTAACTGCTTAGGCTGACACGTTGCACGCAGACAAAGAGCAGTCGTTGAAAATGGCATAATTTCATTGCATTATGTAACTTCAACATGGTACTAAATGAGTGTATTGTAGTTGTTTTGGCTCTCTACCTTCATGCTGTTGATCAGCTCTCTGGGAAAGAACAGTTCCAGCCCCACATCCTTCCTAATGGAGGAAAGTCAGACCACAATCATGAGGGGTGGAGCCAGACGCTATAAGCATTTGGGGCTTACCCTAAACCTAGGGAGGGCTGAGTTTTATCAACATTTACAGCAGCTATATGCACTATTTCCAACCAGATGAAATAATAGAATGCCTAATCTGTACATAATTTGGAAAAAATTATAGTTGCACAGGAAAAAAATCATCCTGTAGAGCCTTCATCATTCTGAAATCATGACACAAAATATGTTGTGGATGACTAATTTTCACTCTTATAACCTAAAAAGAGTCAAAAAACACACACAACCCCTTCATGAAAATGTTAGGGCAGACCCACAGATGGTGATATTTCCCCAGTAACAGAACTTTTGCCAGTGCAGTCATGCTGATCAAGACTCTTGGAACTTTGGTGCTATCTATGAAATCAGCACGCGTTTCCACCAGGTTTGAGTGGAACCATAGGAACTGGAGGCATTATCAAAAGAGGATGCTGCACAATGCACAACGACCTGTAGAATATAACATACCCACTTTGGCTCCCGAGGAAAACCTGCTAATTGTTGGTTTTCAGGTTCCAAACCAATTTATTTTTGGTCGAAATGCTCCCGAAACGGTTCAACACTAGGTGTTTGAACCAGAATGTAGCTGGTGCCCTATTAGTGGAAAAGGCTTATAAGAGAGACTGAGAGGAAATGACATAGAGTTGAAGTTATTTTCTAAACGTCTGGGCTTTCAGGAACCTTCTCAGCTTCCACCAGCTGCCTCATGGTGTGATTCTCTCTCATAATTGTAAAGCAGCTGAATGGCAGAAGTCTCTGAATATCTGACAGTGTTTGTAGGTTTTCATTCTAACCACAGACCAAATGCGTCTGGCCATTTCAGCCTTCCTCTTCATTCATCAGTGAGATTGCTCTTTTTGGCATACATGGTGGTTAGAAAGCTCACTCATCCGTGTGTAGCATTGCTTGTCGTTTGTTTCTTGTCATTGACGTCACCTGACTTACTCTAATAGTTCAAAGTTGGACTTTTTCTCCAGTCCGTTTGGATTCATGTCTTTGTAGAATCTTCTGCAAATACGACAAATAAACACAATGACGTTATGTGAATTTATAATACTTGCAGTGTTAGATTTTTAATTTAGAGTATTTCCAATTCATGTCATATTTTCTTAGTACTGGACCAGTGACTTCTTCTTGCTTAAGGCGGTAGTTGTATGTTACCTTATTTCCAGACAACCAAGCTGCAGAGCCATCCCGTCACTAACTTTTGAGGCATACTGCTGCATGTAGTCACTCCGTACCTGTGGATAGGCACATACACATTGACTGCAACAATTATAAACACTAGTTTACTAGTTTGAAGTCTTAATCCTATAAAAATCCTAAGTGAAGAAACAGACATAAAAAAAAAACACATATCGCATGTCACCAACCTGTTGGTAAAAGTAGAGCATGGTGGTTCTGTCATCTTTGAATTTCTCCATGAAGTCTGTTGGGATGTATCTGATCCTTAGATCGTATCTGGACAAACAAACGTCACACCAAGTCATGACTTTTTCTTTAGAGGATGTGACACAACTTGATTAACATTTTGTCCATTGCAAGAGTTGTTCCCCAGTTCCATACTAAATGCTGTGCTAATTCTAATAGGATTGTATGTGTCCACACTGTAAAAATGACAAAATTAAGTATTAAAAGGATTATGCAGATTTAATGCAGATCTACTGCAAAAACAAAATACTATAAATAGATTCTGGAACGTTTAATGAGGTAGGTAAGTAGATGCCTTTTTAAGGATTTAAAAGTAGAAATTATACTTTTTTTGATTTTTTTATATTGTACATGTCTGGATAAATGTCTGGAGGGGATCTTTAAGTATCAAACTATTTTTTAATTTTCTTTCAGTTTGCTCTGGAAATTCATGATCCACAGAGGATGAATCCTAATAATTTTGGTGATTTCCTGCCCTTTCATTGTACAAAAGATATTGGGTTTATTGAAAACTATGATACATTTAAAATACATGTGCTGTGCATGTAGCATAAGCAGGCAAAGACTGAAGCACTGACCTCCACTCAGCCTCCAGATGCTGCTGTTCGTAACGATGGGTGAGCTCCGACACAGTCAGATCTGGGTGCAGCCAGTGTATCTCTGAGGACTTGAGGTGTTTGAGGAGGAGGCCGTAGCATAATCCGTATTTTATGTCTGGACCCACACAGCCACTGGATAGCACCATATCTATGACATTCTGGGACAGAAGCAATTATACAGTAATGTCTCTGGGATGGCAGCTTTCAAAATGTAAATGTGAGTCTCTGCTGATTAAGTATGCAACATTATGACCAAAAATAATATTCATAGTTAATATCACTAAAACTCTTTTCTTGTGTTTTTCAGCCTGCAAATATCTGAAATCTAAAGCAGACTTCCTTGTTTTCTTGTTTTTAGAGTACACCGCAAGCAAGCTCAATACAGTGGCGTATAATAGTAGAACACAGTCCAGTAATGCAAAGTTAATAACAGAAGTGTAGTTGTGCAGCTGAGTACAGTTTAATACAGTAAGAAAAAAAGCAGTAGTAGAGTACAGTAAAGCACGGTAGATAATAGTATGGTGCAGTGGAGTACAGTATAGTAGAGTAAAGTAGAGAACAGAAGAGTAGATTACAGTAAAGTACATTAGATAGCATAGTATAGTGTGGTAGAATACAGTGTAGTATAGAAAGGTACAGAGGAGTAGAATAGTAGTAGAGTAAAGGGGATAAGGGTACAATAAAATATATATGAGGATAAAAAAGTATAAAATGGTAAAGAACAGTAGTAGAGTATAGTACAGTAGAGAGTACAGTATTTTAGAGTGTATTTAAGTGCATTAGAATACAATAGAGTACATTATTATTGTACAGTATTACTGTTAGCTACCATTTTCTTTTTCTTTTCATTTATTGAATCATCCTATTGATTACTTCATGAATTGTATTATATAGGAACTACAATTTTTCTGAATTGTATTATTTATTTTTCTTTCTTTTTGTCATTATATTACGGTTCCTGACATTAATGCCAATAAAGCATATTAAATTGAAAATTGAAGTAGAGCACAATAGAGTATAGTGCAGAAGAACAACAAAACAGTACAGTAGACTGAAGTACCGTACAATACAGTACATTAGAGCAGGATACAAAGGAGTGCGGAGTAGAGTAAAGTATGGCACAAAACAGTGCAGTATAATAGAGTATAGTATACAGTAGTAGAGTAGAGTAAAGTAGAGTATACCCTGACAGTCCATCCCTCCTCACAGCGGATCAGTTTGAAGTTCTTGCCCAGGTTGGAGCTGTTGCTAAGGAAACACACTTTGATGATCTTCACCGGGAAGACGCTGTCCCTGGTGAAATTTGCCGTGGGAGACATATCCAAGGAACCTGACTGGCTGGTGGGAGACATGCTCCTCCAGGACAGGGTGCTGGTGTCTCCTGACATCACACACACACCCTTACTCAAAACATTCACACTCAGACACACACAGCGTGTATGCTACTGCTTCGTGACATGCATTGCTGTCACACCTACACGCACCATTTCACTCTCTTCCTTCTCTCTCATACACATACAGTCACGTAAAACACATGCATGAAGGGGTGCATTGAAGCTGGAGACAGACAGGAGTTGGACACAACAATCATTAAATGGCCTTGCTGGGTTTGAACAACATTCATATCTCAGTTAAGGATTTAACTCCTGCTGCGATCCCTCTGTACTCACCAGAAGCTGCAGAAGCTCCACGCACCAGCACGGTAAATGTGCTGTCACTCTTTAAAACTGAAGACAAGTCAATGCCACCAACAGAATGTATTCATATTACTTTGTAAAGTGCAGATCTGATCGTCTTTGGCAGGTTAACAGAGCAGACTTATCCGAAGCTGTGCCCCAAAGAAGAACCACACCAGTAAGCGAAAGAGGAAACGGTGCTTATGGGCAAATAAGGAAGTTGAAGAGCAGCTAACAGAAAAACTGAAGAGGACTGATGAAACTGCCGCGTCACTCCATCTCACATGCAATGGCACACACTCACCATCAAACCACAACCCACCAACTGAGCAAAAGGGGCAAGGCCTACATTACACTCAATTCCTCTTCCAAAAGTTTTGATGAGCAAAAGCACAGCACAAAAAAAAGCTTTTTAACAATGTTAGCATGGCTCTTTGAAACTGAAATTTGTCTTATAACTGTTACATGGATTCCCATGTACATTCATGGTGCTCAGAGGGTAGACCCTACTGACATTACCATTTCTGTAGTACCACCATGAGCATATTATTTTTGGTTTTGAGTAACATGTCTCCGCAACTATTGGATGAATTGCCATGAAATTTAACATCAGCATGCTAACATGCTCACATTAACAATGCTAACTGCTTATATTAAGCAGGTATAATGTTTATGGCAGATGCTATTAGCACCAAGGTGTCAGTAGGTAACAATGCTATTTGCACCTGGGGGTTGAATAGCCAATGTGGTTGTTTATACCTTGGTCATATGAATGTGATTACTTTTGAAGGAATAAACCAAAGCGTTGAATAAACATTTGACCCAATGATAGCGCTAGATGAAACGCTAAGGGATCGTCAAAGTTATTACAATTCCTCCTGAGGGGTGAATGGATATGTGTACTAAATTTCATGGCAATTCATCAAAGCACTGCTATGCCTAACCGCAGCCTCACAGAGCAACCTCCATAGCTGCAAATTAATCCAATACTGAAGTAACTGCAGTTCCTCAAACAGCCACTTGAGGCTGGCTCCAGCAGTAAGTCAATCTCCATAATGCCCCCATGTATCCAGGCTTCATTTGTTTCTCCTCAGCTCCACCAACACTCCAGTTATTTGCTCATTTTTGGATTAGATGGGACCTGCCGTAGTCAGGACTTTCAAAATAGTGGCGACCAGAGTCACCGCACTTCACAACTGCTACTCAGAAACCTATGGATGACGTCACAGAGACTACATCCATTTTTAAATATGCAGTCTATGGTATAAACTTGTTATTGAAATTCTCAGTTTTAGGTAAAGAAAATCTCATATTCTTGTATATGGTTACCTGAGCATTTTATGCAGGGCTCTGGTTTAGAGTCATTCAGGGTCATACCACATCAAGTGCTTATTGTTAGACATTACTGTTCAATTAATAAACTGCTTTCTTTAAGATGAGAAGCATTTATGCAAAGCTGCAGCGTGGCTGTGACAAGCCTGTTCAGATGTGGCGAGGCGTACACTGTGGTGACCATGAGGCTGCTGATGGAAAGTTCTGTCTGCTATGCTTTCAGGTTCAACCTCAGTGGTTTTGTCCGGGCTTTGCTTACAGTAAAGCAGAGTTAGATGCCTCTGTATGGATGCGTGTCGGGTGTATGTCGACAGAATTTTTATATTTTATTGTCTGTTGTGTAATCGATTCCTTGTATGTCTGGTGCA